GTGTGTGTGTGTGTGTGTGTGTGTGTGTGTGTGTGTGTGTGTGTGTGCCCCTCTTCTCACTGTCTTTCAGAAACATGCATCAGAAAGCACAACTAGCTTTGAACAGAAACTTCAGGCGATGCTGCAGAGAATGGGCGTGGCCAAAACTCCACCTGTCAACACCAAGCTGAGCCAGGTAGAAGGGTTTGGCGTGTCTGTGACAGAAACACAATGTTCCCTTTCGGTCATTACACTCGGTATAACACATAAGTATGGGGATTGCGCCCTCGCGAGACCAACCTGAAGAAGTTTCTTTCAACACGCCTGTTAAGGCCAATGAGATTGCTGCACGCATCTCCAGGAGGCCCCGCCCTCCTGTATATAAGATGCTGCGCAGTCTCATTTCTTCAATCTTTTTGCACTTCACCTCGCTTTATCCTGCAACAGATCTCTTGTAGCTGACTTAACTGTCCGATCGGAGGTGAGCTAGCTCCCTGCCCAGGGAGTCGCTACAAGTGGTTCTGTACCTTTGCTGGTTTAGCCTGCTGACCTGCAACACCCATTTAGCATAGCTAACGTAAATAATTGTCTGCTTCACCGACTTCTGACATGTTTAGGTTGCTAACTAGCAGAAGTCGCTCACCCTGGTTTAGCTTGCTGAAGCGGGAAAACCTCTTAGCAGAACAACATCATACTTTGTCTGTTTAGCTTGCTAACTGACAAACTACCACTCTTCCGCCATTTTAATGGCACCAGAGAAGAGTAAGACTGGACTCCCAGCTCCTAGCAAGTAAGGCTGTGAGCCCGGGTTCACGCCCGTGTCCGAGCGCTTGTGGCTTTTTCCTATCAGAGAAGGATACCCACAACGCTTGTCCAGTATGTCTCGGCATGTTGCATGTGAAAGCTGCACTTGCTAACCCGGAGTCATGTGCTCACTGTAGCCGACTTAGTAAGTCAACCCTAGAAAGGCGGGTGGGATTCCAGGAGCTGTCTCAGGAGGCGGTGGAAACACCTGCCGAAGCTGACGGATCCACCTCAGCCATGTTCGAGCTATGCCGCAGAGCAGCCAAGCATCTCGACGTGCCGTGGCCGGCCCCGCCGCCGCTTCAACGCCAGACAAGACTCGTGGGTAATTATTTTCTTCCGAGGCTGCGACTGTCGGTGAAACATAAGCTACCCATTTTCCCGGACTTCTTGACGGAGCTGACGCGGTCCTTGGTGTCCCCCAAGGCCCTGCTGTCGCTACGTTTTGCCCAGTTCCTGGACCTGGAGGACATGGAACCAGCGGGTCTGGCACACATCCCTCCTATGGAGGAAACACTGGCGGCTCACTTGGCTCCCAAGTCAAACACGGCATCAAGCAAACCATCTCTCCCCAGTAAGCAGTGTCGGTTTTCCGCAGCGCAGCTGGAGAAAATTTACCACGCCCAGGGACTCTGCGCACGCGCACTGAACACCGCCTCCATGCTACAGGCATACCAGGCGGAGCGGCTACAGGAGCTGCAAGAGACGCTGCAAAATGGGGAAAGCTCAGAGAGACTGCTGGACGAGGTCCACAGGATGGCGGATTTTATCCTCAGGCTGTCCAGCACAGCAGCTGTCACGGTGGGAAAAAGCATGTCAGAAGCTATGGTCGCCCAGTGGCACCTGTGGCTCACACTCATGGAGTTAAAAAGAAAAAATTGTATAGGTCTTCTGGACGGGTTCTTCTCTAATGAAACGTTTAGTCTCTTCTCCAAGAGACTTCTTCAGTCTGAGAGTTTCAGGCAAAATTCATGCTTTTATGTCACACACACGACAGGCCCTGGAGCAGTGCGGTTATCCTGACTGGGCTTTCCTGAAAGCAGACAGGAAACACAGACAGGATTCCAT